ATCTGCACAGAATCTGCACAGCCGAGCTCTCAGAAGCTGCTCTGGAAGACCACGACCATGAACCAAACTCATGCCCGGGAGTTCAACAGTGATCTAGTGCTTAAATGACTGAATTTATAATCCAGACTACTATTGTGATACACCGTTATACTCCTAAGACCTGCAATGACTTGCATTACCTTTGGATAAAACAAACTAACATTGTTTAGGAGTGTAGGCTGGTTTTGGAGAAGGCAGCTTTTGGAGAAGCTGCATATGAGCAGGAGGCAAGCCCTGGTGCAGAAAGACATCACTGTAAACCGAGTTAAGATAAGACATGGACAGGCAAGGAGAAGGACTAGACACCAAAACAGGGTCAAGAACGAAGAAAACAAAGACAGGAGAGAAATGAGGGAAGTCCAACACGCTTAGTTGGAAAAAGCAAGATCGTGTCACACACATGGTCAGAAACTACTGATCTCCTTCCGGCACTTCCACTGTACCCAGGACTAAATCCAGAACTTGTGCTCACTGTGCCTGCCGTCGCTGGTCTTTTGTTATGGATGATATAACTCAAAACTTACCTTTTTACTACAGCTTTGTCTAACTGCCCTACATTCTATCTGCATAAACCTGTATGTTCCTGTTATTACTTATTACTCCATGCAGCATCCTCGGGTTGGGAAAGGTGCTTCATAAATAAGGTGTTGGGTGACCTGCTGCAAGGGTGCACGCTCAAATTCTAGATTCGTAAAGACATGTAGGACGTGCGAGTTCTAGTGAATAGAAGTAAATAAATTAATTCACTTCAGTCCGGAATGACTAACGTCATTCCTTGAGAGGTTCCTTGGTCCTTGAGAGCTACACGTTGTTAGTACTGTATGTCCGTGCTGGACTGTGCCTTTACAGTACTGGGCTTGCCTACGTGTCGGATTTTTGTGGTTGTTTGCCATCTTCTTAACTAATTTGTGTATAAATCCTTACACTTCACCATTTTCTAGCTGCTACTGTGATATAACTTTAAAACCCCCGAAGGATACACAAATTGAGGCCGTGCAAAACCTTTTCGTAAAGATATCCCAAGACGACAAAGTAAGGGGCACCAGGTCTTTCTTTACCACGACATAAACGTTAATGTTAGACGGTAATTAACATATACAAATCATTTTTATGTGTTTTATAAGACATTCAAAGTAAAAAGAAGGTGGTTTGCAGTACGTTAAGGGAGCATTTTACGCCGACGACAAAGTCAAAAGATCAAATAACAACGAATCAGACACCACCCTTACCTGTCCCGTGGAAAAAAAAACAACTGGCGATTTATTTTCCCAAACCAAAATCTCTCTTTCCGCGAAAACAAATCCAGGTAGGCAGTTAAGATGACTTTGTTTACAACTACAAACGTACTTGTTTATCTGTAAATCAAAAAGAAATCCCATGGAACCCCAGCAGATGGGAGAATCGGACACACTAGAAGAATATTCTTCTTCATGTTATTATCGCTCTTAATTATTTATATAAACTGTATTATTTTAAATTGGGTATTTTGTCTTTCTCCTGTTGTACCTAGTTGTACCTCCATGTTTCTCAAACACAAAACACTTAACAGTCACATGTCCACTTTCAGCCAATCCCAGGCCTGCAAGGTGAAGCGGAACTCTTACTCTCCACCAATCAGTAAGAGAGACAGCTGTAGACCAATCAAATGCCTTATCTTGAACAAAATGACCCGTCGCTGACCAATAGAACGTCCTCAAGGGGGCAGGGTTTGTATTGTCCAATGACAAACAGGAAAAAATAGAAGAACTGCAGAGACACCAATTAGCGCGGAGATTAATAAACGACGTTATGTAGAGCGCAAAGAGTAGTGCACAAATATGCACTGGAGAATGCAGTAGCTGTAGATACCACAAGTATTCTATTAACCTGTGAAATACTGAATTAACATGAATAATGAATAGATTTTGTCCATTTGTAGAAAATGGATGACATTCGTTATCCTAATATTCAATTAATTGCGAGGAGAACAGGATTTAAGATACACCACTGCAAAACGATTTATTTTAAAATGGGTATTCCGCGATAAAGGCAGACAAGAGACCTCCAGGGGTATTGGTGTCCTGTATGAGATCGCACCAGGAAAAATAACACACGAACCCTACGTTCTGACAGTGTCCGGCTACGTAGTAACGTAAGGTTACCGTCTGACAGCTGAACTCGTTTTTCACACAACCTGGTGACGTTTCCAGTTTCGTGAAACTTTGCTACTAATTTATAAACTGTAGATACAGGCGAGGAAGACAAAGACTTCTGAAGCGGATGCTACTGAACCACCACGGTTTTTTTATTAAAAGCATTGAAGACGGGTAAACCTTTTTAATATAAAGTCTAATTTCTTCAAAACACTTTATTCATTAATATACGGGTCAAGTCACTAACTCAATTAAGGTGTGCTCACCTTGGTCTGTACGCTCTCCAGTACACTTACAGTAGATGAGGTCAGAGAAGATGTTGTGTTTAAATATTCAATCATACACAAAACTCTTGGCGTCCCCTATCTAATCGTATTTTTTTTCTTTTGTTTTAAAAATTCCACGAGCAAAAAAAATAGTAAAACACTTTTAAGTAAAATTATTTGTCGCGAACTGCGCACACGTAATTTGTGTGGAAGAAAATAAGGTCAGCAGAAACCGCATCGGATGATGTCGGACGCACTTTGAGTCTGAGAAAAAATCGATAGGCTTGGTAAAAATAATGAATCGGGAAATATAGTAAGAAGAGACAATGGGCCTGATTTTCCATTTGAGCAGATTGTGGGCAAAATGCAGGTCTATTTCATTGATTGTGGAGTGGGCTTTAGTGTGGGTCATGCTCTCAGAACTATGGCTCATCTGCACTTATTAAATTAAAACGAACCAGCCCCATCATCTCTTCAAACCCCAGGAGCGCAAATTCTTTTAGTGCAGCCTGAGACTGTGCAGAGACAGATATCCTCTTGTGCGGCTGCCAAGTTTCAATGTGACCCCTGTCTTCTGCTCTGGTTTGCATTCCAGTTAGAGCTTCTGAACTGCAGAAATGGAAATCCATTGAAGGGTGATGCAGAATAATTTGTGTGTGTTTGTGGTGGGCAGTGAAAAGCAATCAGATCATTTCTTTTTTGGTTGTAAAAGTAAGTTCTTCGTGTATTGTGTCAAAACCTGAATGTTGCAATGTGTAGCCAGACGTGGACATGGAAGAGGTTCAGTCAACTACGGCAGCACAGAAAGGCATGAAGCATGTCATTAATTTGTTCTTGGCTTTTTGCATCAAAACCTCAAATGGGGAGACTCAAATGGGTCACTCAGGAGCTTCTTAAGGGATCTACAGCTGCACGACTGCTGTCGAGATCAGCAGACATCACTGGCGAGAGCCTGGCCAGCTCTCTTAGCTGGCAAAGTGCTTAGGTGTGATCAAAGGTGGCACAGGCTCTTTTACAAGGCCTGTGCTGACCTGAGATTCCGGAACTGGAGAGCTGTTAGTGAGACTAACATTGTTATGAGTGAGAGCTGCATCGGTTTGCGCAGCAGGGTGTTTTGAGTGGTGTGTGCATGGGGCACTGGTGTGGGTGGTCCTAGCAGGAAAAAAAGTCGATGAAAAAGAATGAGCATTCCCTCAAGCCCAGAACACAAATCAGAGAACACATCACTATGCACCTGTTTTCACTTGATTTGGTTTGGCCCCAAAAATCATGACTAGTGAACCTTAGAACCTCAGAGCTGTTAGTGCAGAATTTCCTGGGCAGAACCTTTACCTGGCTCCAGCACAGAACACAAGAGCAGAGAGCAATCCAAACCTGGTGTGGGTTAGAAGGCAGGTGTACAGACTTAATGCTTTTTTATTGCATTACAAGATTTAGACTTTAGGTTTTATTGGAGCAGAAAAGTCACTTTTTTGTTAAATCCCCCCAAAAAAAGAATGTGATTTTTCTATGCTTGATGGTTTGGCTACAGTAACTTAAACAGTAAACCTGTGGCAAAGGAGGGTGGGAGAGAGACCACAATTCCTGTATAAGTTTACCTACCCTTTTTAATATATGCAACCAGCAGCAGTCAATTACTGATTTTTACAATCCATTCTAGAGTATGTCTTTGATGCACGTTAGTCCTTACAAACAGAGGACACAGGTGGAAATGACAAGTGCAGTTAAGACTGAGAACAAGAGGTGCCTCTTTACACAAAGGGTTGTGGGAGCCTGGAACAAGGTACCCAGCCATGTTGTTGAAGATGATGCCCTGGCTTCCTTCAGAAGGCGACAGAATCCTTGCATCCATTGGCGATGTACTACCTATTGGGCTAGAAGAGTGGACCCCTCTCATTTTCAATTGCTCTTATGTTCTTAACCCATCCATGAGACTACCAAAGAGCCAGGCTGGGTGGGAATCCTTCGGCAGAATGGATTAGATAGTGCAGTCATTGACTACCCACTGGAAAAAAGTCTCTTCCTTTCTCACACAACAGAGGTCTCGGACCCTAGTCCTGGAGAAACCCAGTCCAGCAACAGTCATAGGCAGCCTTCAAGTCACCAATTTCTAAAGACCAGGAACGGTTTAACTGTGATCAATTAAACAGGTGCTCAATTAGTAAGTAACATACTGTAGATCATTTGGAACTAAAGTCAGAATATTCTTCATCCCCTCATAGAGGGGTTAATTGATCATTCTCTTAGACGAGTGCTCCTAGTCTCTCTGTAACAGGTGACTCAGGGTAATCAATAAGTAGAACTGGCTTGGGCCTCTCCAGGACCAGGGAGGGAGACCCCAGTCACGCTCTCTGCTTTCCCAGCTCTTGTGGTTCCCATTATTTCTTGACTTTCCCCTGTGCGGCCACTGCCTCCATGGCTTTGCGGACTGTCTCCTCGTCTCCCAGGAACTGCATGGGCTTGATGGGTTTCAGGTCCTTGTCCAGCTCATAGACGATGGGGATGCCGGTGGGCAGGTTCAGGTCCATGATGGCAGCGTCGGACATGCCTGGGCACAACGGGGAACACATGTCAGTGATACTGGGAAGGTGGGTGCTGCAGGAGGCAATGAAGACTGGGAGCAATCAAGGCAGGAAATAGGAGATGGTTCTTTACATGGAAGCTGGCTGGAGCATGGATGCCCAGAAACTTGCTGGTTTATGGTCCAGCCCAGCTTTCTGTTACGCAACAGGACCCTTAATTGACTTAATAATTGGATTAATGTAAACTGGTTCACTGTTTTCAGCTCTTAAACATGTACGAGACTTCAACCTTTTTTTCTCTGATTTTGTAATACGTATGATGTGCACAAGGCTTAAAGGTTACAATCAGAGATGACTTAATAGTCAGTCAGGCATACCTTACCCATATCTCAATTCACAAGACGTCAACACCAACAGAATCAAACGCCCAGTCAGTACTGACTTGGAAGGACTCCAGGGATACACAGGTTACTGCTGTAAGTGGTGCTGGCAGACCAGTAGTGGGCACTGTGCTATAAGAGGTGCTTTCTTTTGGATTCAAACGTTAAACTGAGGTTCGGACTACCCGATTATCAAGGATTACATGACACAAAGACTGAGTTTGTTAATCCCAGTGTTCTGGTTAAAACGCACTCTAGATTTGCCTAATCTGACCTCTCTGGATTTCTTTAGAAGATCTGCAGTGCATTGAGTCTGTCTGCGCATAATGGCTCCTTTATGTTAATCAGGCTGGTGTTGCACTGCGGTGAGTCACTCCTATATATAAAGAGCTTTTGGAACCTTTGGGAAGAACAACACTACATCAGTGCAATCATATACTGTAATTGCATTTGTTTCACCTTATTTATAATTTGATTTGAGGGTTGATGGTGCTTACTGATACTGCGCAGCTTGCATTCTGTTACTGCAGTTGCTTAAATTAGCCTCCAGTGTCCTTTTTTACTGATGTGGATTTGCAATTTTGAACTCTTAGATAAACATGCTAACATCTTTATTAATATTCTTTTCAGTATAAAATGCATGTGCAGGGAGTTCAAAAATAACTTTATGACAAACATGTTTGATAAGCAGCCAGATTAGTTTTGGCTATTTTAACAGTTCATGTGCAGCTTGTTTTTTTATCTCCTGAGGGGACATTCTTAGACCCAGGCGAGCTGCCCTGCCTGACCCACCCTGAATCTGTGACCTTTCCGGGGAAAGGCCACTGGCGAAACCAGAGTCCTCAGTGCCCCGAGACAGTTTCTGCTGGAGCAAGGGCGGGTATTTATAGACCCACAGTCAGCTTGGAATGTGTAAGGCAGCAGTGGAGCATTGTGCACGCACTGACACACACACAAACTCAAGAGCCTCTATATCTCTCTGCTTTTTCAGATAACTTTCTACAGTATTTCCAGGTAGTTCTAGAGATGAAAATACTTACCTAGTGGGGCTAGAGCACAACCATTTTTATCTTCCTAGTAAACACCATCTAAACAGTTGCTTTATGTGGTTCAGCTGCCTGATATTTCTGAACTGGAATCCTAAACACCCTTCCTGACTGCAGCGCACAGGTTTGTAACATTGTCTTCCAGGGTATGAGTTTTGAAAAGCATAGCAGCAGGGTCACGCTACAGAGGAGAGGACAGCAGCTGCCAGGGATGGTTTGTCTTGCTTTTACGACATGGAAGACCTCACCCACTGACCAAATGTGGTGTGAGTTCGCTCACACTCATTATTTGGGCTTTTTACACATTGGATGAACAGATAACGATAGCTGATTATTGCCTATTACCGTCAAAGAAAAGATGTAGGAAACACCATGAACGATATTTTCTTAATGGTCAGAACATAAAAACTTGACTGCAATCGAAACACGAAATTCAGTGTGTCTTGTAACAGCAAATCTGTATGAAAAATCTAAATGCTGGTTTGCAATGAGATTCCAGACATCTGAACAGGCACATTGAGCATATTGTGGGAACTGTCCACTTTATGTGCAGGCTGGATGTCTCAGGGGCATGCTGCACCCCGGGGAGTGGACACTGCTGGACAACAGGATCACACTCTTCTTGGATCACTTGTTGCTGCTAATGTTTGTGATGTTCACAGGTGGGTATTATCCTGCTGGAAACCTGGCCTAGCGCTGTTGCAGGAAAGAAGGGAAATGGACCAAATATTGACTAAATTAGTCAGGATTAAACCTGCACTCCATCTGCTTCTGGGCAAGAAGATGGGATACTTGACAATAAAATCTGCCCCCCTACACTGAAGCACTCACCCTCGAGGTGCTTGACAATGCCCCGGAGGCTGTTGCCGTGGGCGGCGATGAGGACGTTCTTTCCGGCTTTGATCTCGGGGACGATGTGATCGTTCCAGAAGGGAAGGGCCCGGGCGATGGTGTCCTTCAGGCTCTCGCAGGTGGGCAGCTCTCCCTCCTTCAGGCCAGCGTAGCGCCTCGACTAGGGGGGGGAGAACACCATCACACCCAGAGTGAGAATTCAAAATTCACATCATGGACACCCAGCACGACCCCCCTGCCTTCGAGAAACACGTCTTTTGTCTTTCCTGCAGCCCGGACATTTATTTCATCCAATAGATCCACACATACAGCTCAGATGCCTCAAGTGTCACTTGGAGGAGTTTGGAATAGGAGGCTGCCAGGTGTGTGTTGATGCAGTTTGCTCAGCATATCTCTTAGCATTTCTTAAAGCTTGCTCATGTTAAAACCGCTAGTTTGCACCCATGATGTTACTGTCTTGAAGGGCAAAATGAAGTCACAGAACTTAAAATAATCATATACTAGCTTTTTATGTGAAAGCTGGTATACTGACTGTGAATCACCGGCTTATTAGACTGTGTTCAAGGTTGTTATAAGCACTAAACTGGTGCCATCCTAACAAATGGCCCCAGCTTGTCTGAAGGCTGGTCTTGTCTGAATATGAAGGTGCTGCAGGCTTAAGTGATGGCAGCACCTGTGTCACCATGATGCTGCCCTGCAGATGAACAGTTGCCGTCAGACACCTTCACTGGCTTGGGGCTCCACTGTACTGCAGCTGAATCAAGGCCAGAGACTGAGCAACGGACACCATAATGCACCATAAGCAGTGTGCAGTGCATTCACACATGCAGTTTCTGCATCACTTCCAACCCTACAGAAGTTAAATCTCAGAACCTGCAGTGACGTCTTCAGTGTATCACTGAATCATTCACACATGCACAGATCCTCTGCCTGAGCCAAATATTTCCACCAGAAACACAGAATAAATTGTATGAAGTAATAAGCATCACACCACACGCCCAGTGTACAGGCACACACCATGTCATAGCGAACTTGACCCTAGAAAGAAAGGGATCTTCTCAGTACTCAGTACCTTCAGCAGCAGTGGTATAAATGCAAAAGCCCACCATTGCAGTTTACAAGATGCATAAGACCAAGAAATGTGGATGTTTGTGTCAGCTCTGTCTTATGCTTTGTATTTTCTCTAAAATATGTCCGTATGAGAAAAACATATCTAAAAGCCTGTTGGTTAAAAAATGAAAATATCTATATGTTTGGGGATTTTGTACACACTACACAGAGAGCAACCAATGATATATTTGAATATTACTTCAGCTGCATGTCTTGTTGCATCTAAATGCATAAACTTAACATAGAAACCTGGAAATATGTGGTATCCTAAGTTAGCTTATATGCAAGGACCAGCAGCAAGTTAAACCTGGAGTGGATCAAACTGCTCTGGAATGGGGATCAGCTTTAAGGGGGCCTCACCTGGCTGATGATCTGGTAGTAGGGGTGGTCCTTGTCCATGGGCGGAGGGGGGATGTCGAAGGACCTCCTCCAGACTTTCACCTGCTCCTCGCCGTGCTTGGCGGCCGTTTCCGCCTTGTTCAGCCCTGTCAGGCCCCCGTAGTGCCGTTCGTTGAGGCGCCAGCTGCGGATGACCGGCAGCCACATCTGGTCAGTGCCGTCCAGGATGGTCCAGAGGGTGCGGATGGCCCTCTTCAGCACGGAGGTGAAGCACACGTCGAACTTGTACCCAGCGTCCTTCAGGGCCTGGGCTCCCCTCTTGGCCTCCTCCAACCCCTTCTCGCTCAGGTCCGCGTCAAACCAGCCACAGAACCGGTTCTCCTGGTTCCAGGAGCTCTCTCCGTGACGAACAATGACCAAACGGTGGGCGGCCGCCATGTTCCTTGGTTATTTTGCTTTGCTAAAGAGAAGGGACGTTTTGAATTGTGTTTTTTCAAATTTCTTGGAACGTGCTGCAGAGCTGTCCCACCTCCCAGAAGGCACTGACCTCCAAACTGCCAGTGAGCTGCTGCAACAAGTGGTTCAATCTTTATATAACACATAGCAAATACCCAACTTGGTCAGCTGCCTTCTTTTTCATCTTCCGGCCAATCAGAGGTCCCAGCCTAGAAAGCGGGCAGCTGAAATCGACCTACTAGGTGTGGAGCTCTGCAAGGGGGAGGGCTCTGTCTCAGTTGGGAAGGGCAGAGGTCGCTGTGAGGGTGAAAATAGCAACTTGACTTTTAAAACTGAGACCCAGGAATAAAGTCTAAAGATCAGAGCATGATGGCTGCATGGAAAATGTTTTACTAGAGTGAGGAACTGTGAATCAGGCCCTGTGCTCAGGCAGACTGAAGAGGGACCAATACACCTTTATTTAAATCTGTGTTTTTAGTAGTTAGTGAGTAATATACACTCAGATCACTTGTAATTCATACTTTACAAACTTGATGGTATCTATTAAAAAAATCAAGAATATCATGGGCATCAAAAATCCAGTAAGTGCAAAGTTTGAAGTACAGTATTTTAGTCCTTGTGATCCATAGCAGTTTTTAAAGTTCTTATTTCTCTTATTATGATGAAATGTCTGCTGACTTTGGTGCTTAAAGTGCTGTTTTGCAATTAAGGTACAAACAGGGAGGCAGCAAATCAGCTGTGGTTGGTCATGTCTTCTCTTCTTTCAGCACAGATTAAATCACTAAATCCCTATTTTAATAGTTTTGGCTGTAGCAGACTATATTAAGCCACCAGCCCATCTTTAGGCTACAGTACTATGCATCCATCCATTTTCTATCTGCTTTATCCAGATCCATTACAAGGTCACACCCTGGACAGGACCCTAATCCATTAGGACACACGGACACAAACACACACTAGTCATGTCATTATTATCAGGAAGGCACTGCTCTCAGACTCATCCATTGTAGTGCAATTGTCCAAATGTTCATTGCAAATTCCCATTTGGTTTGAATTTTATTATTTTATTATTTAAAGTGTGAAACAAACTATGTTTTATATCAGTGGTGTTGTTCAGCACATTGGGAAGGCTTTACAGATAAGCAGACAAGAAAAGGAGGTGAAGGTGGTGTCAGAATAAGTTCTTTTTGGTTTAGTGTCTTGTTGTTTATTGCAGCATGGGGAGACAGTATGGGAGAAAAGTAGATAATCCTTTTTATATTGTTATAGTTCATTGTTTCTTGCCCCCAAAAAAATTAAAACAAAAAGTTTCCTTGCGTTTAAACCCTTGAAACAAGAGTAATATTTATGTTCCACACTGATCTGTACACCTGCCTGACCATTACATAAGCTTACAACTTGCAGCCTTGACACGAAGAGAACGCAACTGTGGCAAAACACCAGCCACAAAACGGAGCAGACACTAACACAACAGTACCAGCACGTTGTCCTTGTTCTGTCATGCAGAGCCCGACAAAGCCACTCAAGCAGAAAATGCCTTTCATACATATAGTGATGTTGACAACTCTGTTATTTTTAGCATGCCCATATGTGTTTCTTATTTATAAAATGAACCGTTTATTAGAAAACATAAAACTCTTACTTTGTGTTGGATTCAGTATTGGACTGAAAACCCTCTAAAAACAAAGAAGTTGTGGATTTTGCAGTTCTAATTTGTGACCAGGAGATGGAGGTGGAGCCACGTGATAAAGCTGTCCAGCTATGAAGAAACAGTAAATGCTCTGTCTCTCCGTCCTCTGTAAGTGCTTAGACTGATGTCTTTGATGCAGATAGATTATTTACCCACTCCAAAATAAAAACCCCAAATCCTATCAAAGGTCATTCTGCAGGACCCAGAGATCTGTACTTCCTGCACATGGTTCATGCCTCTGCTGTGTTTGAGCTGGAGGGGCAGTCTGTCAGGTGGCCTAGGTTTGTGTGGGATGATGTGTAGAATTGGACAAATGCTCTTGGTGTCATGGATGTCGGAAAGGATGAACCGTGGAATGGCAGGAGAGCGTAAAAGACCCTATGCGTAGCGGCGAGACGGGGGTTAACCCGGGCTCAGCTTTTCAGGGAATGCCGTATAGAAACCTATTCCCTCAGGTAGCGGACGTGGGGCGACCTGGTGCTAGGCGGGTCTCAGGGCATCCGAATGTCAATGCTGAGCGAAGGCAAATGAAAGACCCAGAAATATATAGCTCCAGACAGAGAGACACCGGAAGGACAGCAAAGCACTGGAAACAAGAGACAGGACAGAGAAGGAGCGCCCTCTGGCTGCAGAGGGCGTGACACTTGGAACGTGTCTGTGAGATCTGGAAGCTGGGTGAGACCTCTGGGTCAATCAGCAACCCAACAAGCTAGATGGCCAGAATGACCTCTCTGCTGCATCCTGTCATTGGTTGCTTATGCACAGGAAAATAGCACCTAGGTGCACTAGACAAGCGCAAGCAGTCAAACAGCCCATTCTATACAGAATCTGTGGTTAGATTTCATGCTTAGCTCTTTTCTTTCCTCTGCTGGGTGGAAGGTGACAGTGTCTGTGCCACAAAGAAATCAATTAAATTAATCAGGCAATTAACACCTCTGCACAAAGGGACACCTGAAGCGTCAGCTCTGAACACGCTGAGTTGCCCTTATAAAAGTGAGCAAATTTTGGGGTGCTGTTGTTGACATGTCTGAGGGTTTTGTTTATTTGTTTCTTGACAGAGCTGTATTGTAGTTTTACACCCTTGCCTGAGCGGAGTTTGGTGGCTGACTAATTACTTTTTACTCCTGCTGCCCTCCTTCCAGCATGAGATATGGACAGTGGAAGGTTGCTCTCATCAGCACTATTTTCCCCATAATTCCCTGCAGCAGTGTGCCCCTGGCAGAGGTAGCGCTGGCTGACAGAGCAATACAAGTGCCCCCAAAAGCCACAGGTATCACTGTTGCAAGAAGACTTATGTTGTCTAGGTTACCTTCGTGCGTTCGAGGCCACCTGACTGGCCAAGATCAACCGACGCTTGAACAAGGAGTGCGTGGCACCGTGATACCGCTGCCCAATGCGTTTAATGAAGAAATGCAGATGGGTTAACCAATTTAAAATAAAAAATCAGGACATTTGCAAAGTCCTGTCCAGCCAAGTAAAGCGATGATACAGCTGACTGTATCTCTCCATCTCAGCCTATTTGTGTAATGGGAGATTTTCTCTGAGCATCAATATTCCTCCTCATCAGCACTATTCCTCTAAGGAAAATTTATTAACCCCGCTAGCTTATGCTGCCTTTTTTTAATCCCCTCCCCAACATAGACAGACATTGCCCACATGCATCTCTAGAGTAGATGGGAATCAATAAAGCTGTGCACAGCACTCAGATATATTACAACAGAGCCATTAACCTCGTAATGTCAGGGATAGAGCTGTCACAGACGCAGAAAACCCTGCCTCTGCAGTTCCTTCCATACTCCTAATGCTGAATTAACGTAGATTTTCACAGGGAAATCAGTTAGACTTCCTCTGTATGGCGGTTTGATCCATTTCAAGTTTTGTTGTCTAGAACTAATTACACTGATGAAGGAGGGAGGCCGTGTAATTGTCCCTGTTTTAAAGCTGCATATACAGCACGTCCACTTGGAATGTACCAAGCTTAAAACATGCCTGCTGCCGGTAAAACCTGAAATGGACCCAGCTGCTGTGCAATGGGATTCTGATCACGATCATCCAATTCGATCTGGAAGTAAAAAGCATGAGTCTGCGAGTCTACCAGGTTCTTTTCCGCCCTTCCCAATTATTTCTGCTGATCTGGCTATTTTCACAACCCGACATGGCGCCAACTATTTGATGGATGTTAAGGCTTATTTTAATTGAAAACCTCTGACGTTTTGGAGAGGCATTTACTCATTTACATGCATTCTGAGGGCCAGCCAATGTGATTGACGGGGCAGAAAGAAAGTTCAGAGTCACAAGAGTTCCTCCAAGGCTTGGATTTTTATTTTAAACTCTTCGTTCACAATTTGTTCACAGCATCTTTACCTCTCAAGCGCACGCACACACACATATAGGTAAACACACACACACACACACACAAACACACACCACATCTCTCCGTTCTCATCCTCAGCATGACTACAGTCTGCACGACAGACTGCATTCTGTCTCCCTCGCGATGTTTTTCTCTCCCTTTGCCTCACTGCACCACAGCCGCCTTGCCCTTTAAAGAGCGCAGCAGGCAACGTGAGAACATAAAAAAAGGCATAAAACTGAAACGTCGAGGTATGAGATTAAATGAAACTACCCCTCCGGGCTGAAAGCAAACTTGGCCGGCGTTTTTGCGCAGTCCGCATGTCGCAGGCCTGGTGCCCCTGGGTGGCAGGGAGACAGAGAGAGGGGTGAGAAAAATGGCACCGAAAAGCCTGCTCTGTGCCTTTGAACCCTGCTGGCTCGCTCTCTCTGGGCAGGAGAGGCAGGTAAATGGGACTTTGGGCAAAAAGCCAGTTGGCAAGAAGGCTTTTTGGAAAAAAAAAAAAGCTTTAGCCCAGCTCTGTTCATCACAATGCAGCAGCAGAGAGGGAGTGGAGAGAGACAGTGGCAGAGAGAGAGAGAGAGAGGGAGACGATGGATAGGAAGAAGAAACTAAAAGCAATGAGAGGGAGAGAGGGAGGGAAATGCAGGGAGAAGGGAAGGAGAGAGGGAACGGGGCAGAAATAAAAGGGGGAGAGAGAACTGGGAAGGATCTAGCCGAGCAGTCGTTGGCCTGTGTGCAGTGCAGTGACTCAGACTGCGGCAGACAACACCTCTCACTCCTGCTGCACACTGCCCCTACACTTATGAGGAAAGCTGCAGCTCCCTCTGCCAGCATCAGCAGCACAGACATGTGCGGTACCCCTGTTTATTAGGCAGCAGTGTGTGTCAAGTGCTTGGCTATCATTACAGTTCATGAAAATATTCCTGCATTATTGCTACTATATCTACATTTGCCCTTTAAACATCCAATAGCAAGGTAAGAACAATCTCAAAGCTCCTTAAGAGATGAGGTTATAAACTAAAAATAATAAATATCATTACAACTTTATTAATATCATTATCACAGAATAACACCAA